CTATTTGAATTCTGTTTCCTGGTTTATAAATTGGGTAAACATATTGTCATTTGTATTTCTCCAGCCTAATTTATTTCTAAATCTTTTCAAATATCCCCATATACTTAGAGAAAATCATCAACATTCATCATCTGTCTCCTCCTTCTGCTTGGTCTGAGAGTGACTTTTAGATAGGTTCTGTCTTTTGAATCAGCCGTGGTTAGCCTTCTTTCCTCTATTCACTCAAATGTTTATTGAGGCCAGTCATTTAGTTATACAAGTGATACGTGCTATAAAGGAGAAGAATTGGTTGCTAGGAGAGTATATAATGGAAAGAGCCTGACCTATTTGGGTATCAGAGAAAGCTTCTTCCTTGAGGAAGTTATCTTTGAGTTGAGATTTGATGAGTATACAAGAATTAAATAGGGAGAGAGTTTATGTTGGGCTGTGGAGATAGGATGCATGACATGAGATGGGGAAAAAAATGAATTCTGGGACTGGGAGAAGGACATGTGGGGGGCTGGGGTTTAGAGAGTACAGTGATTTCCTCACATAGTGTAGGCATGGTGAGCTGTTACACTGAGAAAAATATTACTTGTCAGGGGGGTGGATAACTGAAAAAAGGATAAGCCAATTTCTTCCCCATACCTAAGGAAGAAATGGTAGGGGAATATAAGAAGGATGGGCAAAGGAAGACAAATAACATAAAACATGTGGTGAGCCCCTCCTTTGTTCCAGGCAGAGCATTGGAAGCTTTAAATGCCTTAGTTCACAGCATACCTATAAAGCAGGTAATGATATCCCCATTTTACAGATGATGAAAACTGAGGCTGTACTGTTCAGTAACATAGCATTGATAAGTGTTGACTCCAAAGATTTGACAGCTAAATCATTAAAAAAAATGTGCTTATATGCACATACATATATGAGATTTTATATACTATTTCAAGAGGCCATAGACAGCCAAAAGCCTATTTTTGGACTCCTACTGTGGCATTACTTTGTTCCCTTGAAAATAGTTTGTGGGCATTATTAGTGCCAATTCAAAATCAGTTTTATGATGTTAGTCACACTTTTTTTTTTTAAAACCCAAATCCTTTATAAGCAACAATGGGCCTTAGCATACTAAAAGTGTCAATTATTTTTTCTCTTAAGCTTCTTTAAAATTTTTAATATTCCTCGATAACCATGTTAGCTTTTATGGTGAAAAAAAAAAGGAAAGCAAAAGCTGTTACTGTTTGTTTTAATATTGGGAGAGCGGGATCCCTACATAGTGGGTCTAAGTAGAGTTTTGCATATCACCTAAAATAAACTGAAAGGCTACCTGGCCACCCAGACTAAAATGTTATCCAAGTTAGAGATATTATTATGTCTGTGAAAATAGAAAAATTTTAAGCATGAAAAGAAAAATAGCATGCCTGGGGCTCTGAAAGCAGTTGGAAGAAGTCTCCAAATATTTAACAATGATAGCTTCTTTGGAATATGAAAATAACAACCTAAGGGAAATACTTTGCAGGGAATGATAACCACTTGGATATTCTTATTTATTTTGTGGTTTTAAAAACAAATCTCTGTATTTATTTTACATATATATGTTAAACAAGTATTTATAGAAATATATGTAAATAGACGTAGCTGTTAGAACTGAATTTGTGTCCTGTGCAGTTAAATCCAAACTTGATAAGGGAGTATCTATTTCCAGTTATGTGATGCATGCTATCAATGACTTAAAAATAAACATATGACTTAGTTTTTGTCGTTGATTAGTAAATGCTAATACATTGAAGGACTTAGTTCAAACAAACTATTAGAACTGACTGTAGATTTGTAGTCACTGCGGTAATCTCTCTACTTTGTTAGTTTTTCTTTCCTACATTCTGATCTGCTGGGATGGTTTTTGTCACTTTTACACTTATGTGGATTAATTTTTTTCTTTTTGCTTGGGTAATCCTTGAGGACTTTAGATTATTCTTTCAAATAAACTATATTTGGTGAGTAGAAAGAGGCCTTAGATGTAGTTAATATTTAAAAACCAAGTTTGATTTGTTATTACATTATATTATTTAACCTTGTAACGTGAAGTCATATAATATTAACTTTAAGTAGATTGTAATAAATTAAAGATGCGTATTGTAATTTGTGGAACAACCACTAAAAAAAAAACGTAGAGAGGTATAGCTAAAAAAAAAACAGAAGAATCAAAGGGGAATACTAAAAAAATTTCAGTTAACAAAATAAGGTAGGAAAGGAACAAAAACAGATATGGGAAATAGAAAACAGCAAAATAGGAGACTTAATTTTAACCATATCAAAAATTACATTAACTGTAAATGGACTAAACGTTTAATTAAAATGCGGAGATTGCCAGGATAAATTTTTTCTTTAAAATGAAGCTACAACTATATATTATCTATAACGAAAAAAAAAGTGCCATCAAGTCAGTTCTTATTCATGGAGACCCCATGTGTGTCAGAGAAGAACTGTGCACCATAGGGATTTCAATAGTAGATTGCCAGGCCTTTCTTCCAAAGTGCCTCTGGATGGACTCTAACTTCCAACCTTTTGGTAAGGAACCAAATGTGTTCATCATTTGCACTACCCAGGAATTCCTGTCTACAAGAAAAACACTTCAAGTATAAAGACACAAATAGGTAAAAAGTAAAAGGATGAAAAAAAAAAAAAAAGACATACCACACAAATGCTAATCATAAGAAAACAAGTAGCTATATTAATAATGACAAAATATGCTTCAAAACAAGTATATTACTAGAGATGAAGGACATTTTGTAACGATAAAACGGTCAGTACAAAAATTATAAATGTGCGTGTACCTTATAACAGAGCTTCAAAACACATCAAGCAAATTAAAGGATGGAATAGATAATTCCGCAATCACAGGTGGAGATTTTAATGGCCATCTCTCAGTAACTGATAGAATTAGACAAAATTCGGTAAGGCTCTAGAATAATGCTAGTCAATAGAAATAGAATGCAAGCCACATATGTAAATTCAAATTTTCTAGCAGCCACATTAAAAAGAGTAAAAGAAAATAGATGAATTTAATTTTTTCTGGTTTTTAGGTAACTGTGTGTGTGAAATATATATAACAAAAAATTTGCCATTTTAACCATTTCTAGGTTGTACAATTCAGTGCCATTAATTTCATCCACCATGTTGGGCAACCATCACCACTATCTGTTTTCAGATGTTTTTCTTGAGTCAGAATTGACTCATTAGCAACAGTTTTGGTTTGAGGCTTTTTTGGCTTTTTTTTGAAGCGGTGAATTTAATTTTAATAATGTATTTCATTTAATCCCTCATATCCAAAAATATTATCATTTCAACTTGTAATTAATGTTAGAAACGGTAAGATATTTTACATTTTTTGTGTGTGTACTAAGTCTTTAAAATCCAGTATGTGTTTTACACTTAACTCAAAAAAACAAACCCACTGCTGTCGCGTAAGCACCTCTCCATTTGGACACGCCACATTTTAGGTTCTCAGTAGCCACATGTGGCTAGTGGCTACTACATTGAACAGCAGAGATCTAGAAAATCTGAGTGATGCTGCTAACCACCTTCCAGTGATTGGCATTTATAGAACACTGTACTCGACAACTGGAGAACACACATTCTTTCAACTGCACATGGAACTTTAACCAAGGCAAACTGTATGCAAGGCCATAAATCAGTCTCAGATCAAAAGAATTGAAATATCACAGTACGTTTTGTGACCACATCAGAATTAAATTAGAAATCAATAACAATAAGTTAACTAGAAAGCAGATATTTGTGGAGATTAAACAATATACATCTAAAGTTATGGATCAAAGAAGGGATCATATGGAAAATTATAAATTTCAAACTAAATGACAATGAAAATATACATTATCAAAATTTACAGGATGTAGCTAAAGCGATGCTTAGAGGGAAATTTATAATTTTATGTGGTTATATTAAGGAGCCCTGGTGGCGCGGTGGTTAAGAGCTAAGCTGCTAACTGAAAGGTCAGTGGTTTGAATCCACCATCAGCTCCGCAGGAGAAAGATGTGGCAGTCTGCTTCCATAAAGATTTAACACCTTGGAAACCCTATGGGGCAGTTCTGCTCTGCCCTGTAGGGTCGCTATGAGTCAGAATCAACTCAGTGACAATGGGTTTGGTTTTTATGGTTATGTTAAAAAGGAATAAAGCATTAAAATTGATAATGTAAGTTTCCACCTTAAACTTAAAAAGAGGAGCAAACTAAACCCAAAGTAAAGTAACAGGAAGAAAATAAGGATAAGGGTAGAAAAGATCCCTGGGTGGTACAAAGGGTTTGCTCTCAACTACTAATCAAAAGGTTGGTGGTTCGAACCTACCCAGGAGTGCCTCAAAAGAAAGGCCTGGCAATCTGCTTCCATAAAGATTACAGCCAAGAAAACCCTATGGAGCTCAGTTCTACTCTGTAACACATGGGGTCGCCATGACTTAGAATAGACTTGACAGCAATGAATTTAAAGGTAGGAAACTGACAGAAAATTAACATTGCAATGCAATACACCTTTCTTTTGATAACTTTACTAAGTAACTTGTTAGCCTGTGATAACTAGCAATAAAACTAGTGAGAAAAAATTGTATTTTAAAAATTATAAGGAACCAATTTATAGGCGAGAGCAAGATTAAATTAAGCTTAGTAATTAAAATGATTTTTTAAATGGAAGCTTCAATTTCCTTGAACTCACATTCACTTAGTTTTCTGATGTGCCTGTTTTGGAAAAATAATTTAACCCGGGGATACATATCTATAGACATGTTTTAAAAACCCACGAGAACATTTTAAAGTTGAGAATTTGAACTTAGTTTTAAAATGATAAGTAGCTGTGCGTATCCCATTGTGAAGACTTGTATCCAGGTATTTACTTTCAGGACAGTGGCATTGCAGATGAATCTGCAACGATGATCGGCTCTCAGGAATTTGCATAATCTCATTGAACTGAAAAAAATGAACATTTAAATAAACATTGACTTTTTTTTCTCATAGGTTTAGTGACAAGAAGGAAAGGTTAAGCCGACTTAAGAGCAAGCAAGAAGAATTTCAAAAAGAGTGAGTTTTCTGTTCTGCTTCTCAATCTGTGGAGGTTATCTATTCACCATTTGGTTTAATTCAGTGCTGTGGCATGCAGATAAATGGATTGCTAATTTATTGAGTTTAGAGTAAAATCTCTTAAAGTGTGGATGAGCTGGGAAGAGCAGTGCATCTGGGAGAAGTAGAACAGGAGAGACTATTAAGTTTCCAGAAAATATTGGGATCATATGTCGTGCTTGGTACACAGTAGACACTCAGTGAGTGCTTGGATGGATAAATCAAACCCATTGCCCTGATAATTGATGTGTGGCAAATTGGTCCAGGAGAGTGGGTGTGATTAGACTTAAATTAGTGGTGGTGGTTCCCTTAGGACATAACTGTTTCCATTTCCCTTTCTTCTTTCTCTTGTATCAGTGTTTTGCAAAGTGTGGTCTGCAGATCATCTATGTCAGAATTAATTAACTAGAATAATAATGGGGTCATTTAGGGTCACCATGAGTCAGAATGGACTCAACAGCAGCTAACAACAACAGTGGTTAAAAATGCAGACTCTGGGAATCCTATCCTCCGATAGTCTGATTCAGTAGGTTTGGAGTGAGGCCTGGGAATCTCAGTTTTTAAAAACAAGCACCCCTCTGAGATAATCTTTAAACCTCAAACCAAAAATATCCCCTGAAGTCTTCTTAAAACCAAACAATAGTTTAACTTAATTAGTAAAGAATGTTTGCCTTGAGCATTGTGCTCTTTTAAGAACTATCTATGTGGGATCAAATTGATAACAGCAACTTAAAAGACAGGAACTTAGGGGGCGGTGAGTTTATGTTAATGGGGGAGGAATGATTGGGAAATGGAGGATGAGAATGGTTGCACAACTTGAAGAATGTATTTAGTGTCACTGAATTGTACATGTAGGAATTGTTGAATTGGTGTATATTCTGCTGTGTATATTCTCGACCACAAAAATCAGATAATTAATTTAAAAAAAATTAAAAAGCACCCTGATGAACCTCTCACCCCTTAGGTTGGAGAATTGCTGTCCTATAGAACCTTCTGCCCCCGTCATGCAGCACTGTTCTCCAGACACACCCAGGTGTTTGTCTTTGTTCACAGTGTTCTCTCCACCTCAGCCCTTTTCCTCTTCTCTGCAAATCCTGCCCATCTCTCGAGGCTCCTTAGTGGTTGTCTCCAGTGAAGTGCTCCCACACCACGCCACCATGGAGATTTCACCCTCTCTGCTGTCTATGCTAATGTATGTGCCAGGGGTCCCCCAAAGTGTGAGCTTTGCCAGAGAGTCTGCAGTGGACAGATAAACACGTTATCAGCAGATAAAACATTCTGCATTAGAGAAATCCGCTTGAATTTATTTAACTCTGCAATGTCTCTACTGCTTGATCACAGAAACTTTATTTTTTCCCATAAACACTTCATTCCATACAACAAATTTTCATATATGCTGATTTATGCTATTTGTTTGGCAACTAATCATAGAATTTTGGATCATGAGTCATCTTGTGACTATCATTATCATCATTATTCATTACAACTAATGGAAATGATTGATTATGAATGAGGACAAAAGCTATGGCTGTTGTGGAAGTTTATTGTGGACATTTGTAGAAAGGCACCAGACAGTGTTAGAAGTGCGAAAGGAAGGAGGTTAAAAAAAAAAAACCGCACAGAACAGAGAATTGGGAAAGTGTTCTAAATACTAATTCTCACCTTGGTATTTCTAGCACTTTCTACGAATTCATTACAAAATGACTTTTTGATGACTTTCAAGAGCTTATTTTCTTGTCTCTTTTTACAGCGTATTAAAGGCTATGGAAGGAAAATGGATAACAGATCAGTTGGTAAGTTGTAAAAAATATTTAAATTAATATTCTTTATATTGGAGACGCTACCACTTGTCTGTCAGTTTGTTGTACTGTGGTGGCTTGCATGTTGCTGTGATACTGGAAGCATCAGCCTGCAATGTGCAGATGACACAACTTTGTTTGCTGAGAGTGAAGAAGACTTGAAGCACTTACTGATGAAGATTAAAGGCTACAGCCTTCAGTATGGATTCCACCTCAACATAAAGAAAATGAAAATCATTACAACTGGAACTATAAACAACATTATGATAAATGAAGAAAATACTGAAGTTGTCAAGGATTTGATTTTACTTGGATCCACAGTCAATGCCCATGGAAGCAGCAGTCAAGAAACCAAAAATGTATTGCATTGGGCCAATCTGCTACAAAAAACCTCTTTAAAGTGTTAAAAAGCAAAGATGTCACTTTGAGGACTAAAGTGCGCCTGACCCCAAGTCATAGTATTTTCATTCACCTCGTATGCATGTGAAAGCTGGACAGTGAATAAAGATGACCAAACAAAAATTGATGCCTTTGAATTATGGTGTTGGAGAAGAATATACCATGGACTGCCAGAAGAAGAAACAAATCTGTCTTGGAAGATGTACAGCCAGAATGTTCCTTAGAAGCGAGGATGGTGAGACTTCATGTCACATACTTTGGAGATGTTATCAGGAAGGACCAGTCCCTGGAGAGGGACATCATGCTTGGTAAAGTAGAGGGTCAGCAAAAAAAGAGGAAGACCCTCAACGAGATGGCTTGACACAGTGGCTGCAACGGTAGGCTCAAGTGTAATAACGATAGTGAGCATGGCGCAGGACTGGGCAATGTTTCATTCTGTTGTACATAGGGTCAGAACCGATTTGAGGGTACCTAACAACAACATATTTGCAGCTGCATGCTTTTAAGTTGGTAGAGTGTAAATCATTTTGAATTTAAACTTATTTTTTATTAATTTTGGCACTTCTCTGAGTATTTGTAGTGTAAGCTGCTCGAATATTTCGTCTGTTTTGCCTGTACCAAAACTAGAGTATAGGCAATTAATTATGGAACCATCATAAACGGTAATTATAATGTCTGGTATCAACATAGAATTATTAGACCAATGGGCTGTTCTTTTTTAAAAAAAAATGTTAAATCTTTCCTTTCACCATAAATACACACTCCAAATGGATTAATGATTAAACGTGAATAGCAAACTCGTAAAACTCTTTAAGGAAAATACAGGAGAGCATGTATGTAATCTTGGGGTAGGGAGGACCTTAATAAGCCATAAAGGAAAATATTTTGGCAGGTTTGACCACATGAAGGTTAAAAGGTTTTGTGTGTTAAACACCTTAAACAAAATTAATAACTAAACTGGGAAAAAATGAGTGCAGCATATGAAAATAGGGAGTTAGACTGACAACAGGCCCTTTCCTTCTGTGTTGGTGGGTGTATACATTGCCACATCTGTTTTGTGGGCAGTTTGGTTTATTTCTCAAAAAACAAAAGGTGCACATGTAGTATATCCAATTTTCCTTCTATGGAAATGCACATACATGCAGAGATTTACAGTAAGCTAATTACAGCTAAATGTTCATCAATGAAGAAGAGACAAGTAAGTTATGATACTGTGTAGCTGTTAAAAAGAATGTGGCCAATCTACATGTATTGCTACGGAGAAATGTCCGTAGCAATATGTATTTTCAATGAAAAAAAGTAAACAAAAAGTAGACTAGTATAATTCCATTTCTGTCAGTGTGTCTTTTAAATATAAACATCCCCTACAAAATCTGGAAGGATACACATCAAACAGTTAGAATTACCCCTAAGGGAATGGGAAGGAGTCAGGCTGAAAATCACTTTGTCTTCTTTTGCTTCTCTGATGTTTAATTTTTTTCCACAACAAGAAGGATTACTTACTTTTTTTTTTTTCTTTTTCTGTTGTACTTCAGGTGAAGGCTTACAGAACAAATAGTTTCTCATGGAACAGAAGTACAGATGCTATTTTATGACATTGGTTAACAACCCCACAACATATCAACCCTCTAACTTCTCAACGTCATTTTTTTTTTTGGTGAAAATACACATAGCCAAAGATACACCATTTCAAAAATTTCTACATGCACAGTTCAGTGACATTGACTACGCTCTTCCA